GGTGCTACAGTGCTGCCTGGGGAAGTGACTAGGAAAGAGATGGTTTCCTTTCCTCCCATTTTGTCTTATGTTGCTTGGAGCCCTCCGTTTCACCTTTCAGGGCTGTGAAAGGAAGGCTAGGATTTTTCACAGAAGATAGCAAGAGCCTTCTCCCCCCCGCCCCCCCTTTTCTTTGTTATACTGGTAGCAGAAACTAAAATCTAGAAAGAAGAAAATTGCAAGCCGTAACGTCCATGTCCTGCCAAGGTGGATGTTGAAGTTTCCAAGTGCAATGTTGCTTTTTAGATAGCAAAATTATGACTTATATCTAATTTTGTATCATAGCAACATATCGGTTAGTATCTTGCAGCTACCTCTTAACCAGAAGTAATCCAAACACAGATAGAAAGAGGTGGCATGTATTACAGATACTTACGCTTTTGTATGGATCTCTTGTTCAGTTGAGACATAAGGACATAAATTTTTATAATCCTTGGCAGTAAGCTGTTTTGAAAAATTGGTAATCTTTTCCACCTCCTTTGCCAGTTGTCAAAACTGTCATGATGATAATTTACCATATTAAAGAAGGTTAATTTTATAGTTAAAATCCTGAGCTAGAACTCGGGAGGTATGTTTCCATTATTTCTGCTGTGGAATGCTCACGTGAATTTAGGGTAAGTTGCTAAATCTCTTCGCCTCATTTTTTTTATCTGTAGATGAGAGAAGGGCCAGGTTTTTATACTCTCAGAAGAATATTCTCAGTCTCAGTGGGGGGCATAGGAACAATACTGCAGTACAAATAGAATCATTTCTGTCTTGAAAGAAATGCTGGTTTAAACACTGAATTACTGTTTTTACTGTCCTAATTGGCACCTTCACCTAAGGTAGCAATGCTATGTTCACAGAATGTATGGCAAAATGAGCCCCTACCTTGCTTCGCGTAATTTCACCTCAGCTTTTTAAAGTCTTGTCTTGTAATTGCTGCTCTGCGACACTAACTGAATGGTAGATTTCTAATGTTTAAATATTACAAATCTGAACGTTTTTTCCCTCGCTTTCCATAAAAACATGGAATGAAACCGTCACTGTGGATTATTTGAGGGAATTTTACTAATTAGAATTGCATGAGAATTCAGGCTTCTGAGCTGTCATCTGTCCCATCCCCTTCCCAAGCGCTGGAGGCTTCAGTAGATTCAGGTTTCACACTTGTCTTAAATATCTGACTTATTCTGGCAAGAGATCTTGGGGATAACAATCTGGGGTCAAATTTTTCGGTCCTGCATGTGTCTGGGCAGTTTTTCTGCTTCCACAAGCAGAATCTGTCTCTCATCTAAAGAATAATCTTTCATGTCCTTCTCATGCAAATGAGCTCGGTTGACTCCAGTGGATCTGCTTGTGCGGATGAGGACTGAGTTATGGCAATGCATCTTTAGGCTGTGAGTTCCGAGATACTGGATTTGGGGTTTCTCTTACATACGTTGGATACAAAGTTTATAGGTGTTGGAATTCTCACAGAACGGTTTGAGGGGAAAAAAATGAGAATGTTTTGAATGAGCAGTAATTGAAAGTACGAAAGCTGTTTGTCTGTTGCATGAGGGTAGTCACCTATAGCCCTCGCTATCGTGACAGTATAACTAGAGCTGTGTGGACTTTGAAAAAGCTGTTTAGTTGCTAACATTACTATGGTAAAGTATGTCTGTGTAGTGTGATCTCTGCTCTTCAGTTATTGAGGATGCCGGTACAGTTTTTGGGTGTAAATAAGAGACCTGGGAAAGAATGCCATGCAATGCATCCCACTCCTGAAACTGGAGCAGTGGGAATTGGTATAGAAGAGCAACACGACACAAATGCTTGATTTTGTTTGTGCAAATGAGAAGGCCTTTGTGATGCAAAGCAGCATCCTGAAAAGGCAAATGTGCTTTTTTGGTTGTAAATATCCCAGCTAAATACTGTAGTAATTGCAAGCAGAGCTTGGCATTTTTCCTTTCTATTCTCTTCATCGTTATATTTTAACAAGTTCTCATGAGACTATTAAAACGTCTTAGTTTTTGGAACATGTGGCCTAGTGGGGATAACTCTGTCTACAGATGCAGTGGGTTGGCAGCTCGATTTTGCATGTCTTTTCATTTCCCTCCAGATCCTGTGACCCAGCGTAACCTTTGGTCTCCCTCTGAAGGCTGGGGTGAAGGAAGTATGAGCAGGTGACTGATGATCACTGTCAATGCAGCCTGCAGACAATATGGGAATTACTTTAGCAGTCTCCCACTCCCTTGCACTCCCCCATCCTCTCTTAAATCAACAAATGCAAATAGCAGCCACCTCATTTGCTGCTATCTCCGGGAGGCTGCCCAGGCAGCATGGGCTTTGTTGCAGTCCTGCCTATTGAAAAAAGCGGCTTCAGCCCTAGGCGGAAGGTAAAATACCAAATGGGACCTGACCCCCCCCCTTAATGGTTAATGCTGCTAATATTTGGTTCTCTGGCGTGTACAGGTAGGAAGATGCTGAGATAAGGGTACTTGATGCGTGTGGTTCAAGAGGGCAGCCTGAAGTGGTTGGAGCTGTTTGCATTGTTACTCCTTGTCAGGTAAATGTCCTACTGGAAGGGAGTAGGGATTGCCCAGTGTCCCGAAACTCATACCTGTGCTTCTAGAACCTGTTGACATTGCAATTAGCTGTGTATTTAACCTTAGCTGTGTCTTTACTGTGCGAGAATAGAAATGCATTTGCTACATTTCAGCACAGGCACGGGCACAAAGAATTTGTGAAACAACATTTCTTTACAAGGTCATGACTGTTTTGTTAAATGCGTAGTTGTGTGGCACAAATAAATACAAATAGCTGCATTTTACGCTGGGGTAAGCAGAATACAGGATGCAATACGTAGTACTGTATTGTGCAGCATACAGTTGATATTGTTTTGCTTTCCAGACATACAGCTTAACACGAGTTGTCATTCAGCACTTTGGAGACATAAGAGTAATGCTATGCCAGCATTTGGTTAAAATTCTGTTCATCTTATTTTAAGCTGTCATTGCGTATGAAAATAAGTTTTGGTATACATAAATAAAAGGAAAGTGATTACTTTGCCATCCAGAAGGTGGTCCTTCTCAGATACCTAGGGATATCATGTCTGTATTTGATGTATTAGGACTGCAACCAGCCATAATGAAGAGATTTCTTCTGAACTGCCATTTAGGAATATTAGATTAGTAACCGAATCAGACAAATAGCAATGTATGTAAATGCTCCCATAGCTTTAAAACTGTGTGTCAGTAGTACTTGTATTTTATAAGTCTGTTTGCAGTGTGTATTTCATCTTACTGTGACATTTTCTACTGCAAATACTTAATAACAGTTAACTCCTGAATAAAAATTCAGAGTTAAAGTAACAGTTGTGAAGGTAGGTGCTGGACTGTTGAGGTGAATATCACTCACAGAGCTAGACATTAAAACTGTTACTCAATCTTTAAGTATGTTCTTTTCTCAAGATCTCATTTAAAAATGTATCTTTGAGTTTTATTTTGTTTTATTTGCATACCAGAAAGCCTCAACATAGTAATATTTTCAGGAAAAGAAATATTCCAAATTCACAAAAATCCAGGAAGTTAAGTATTAGCAGCCCGCTATGCTCCACTTTCAGTCTGCAGTAGCGCTTTGGCTCAGGCACTAGTGACTGACACAGTCAAAGCCCGCTTGAACCCTAATTTGCAATACTTCTCAGTTGTGTCACATTATGTTCATAGTGTTTAAGGTTAGGGTGAATCACGGGTTTCAGCAGCAGCAAGACACAAAGGCTGTGGTAGAGGCAGTATGATACTAGAAAGCCATCCAATTTTAGTGTAAAGGCTTCAAATGATTTCAGGTATGTTGTGCGTACCTTTGCCACACCTCTCGCAACAAGGGTGGTTTGATGTCACAAAATCTCCCGTTTTCATCCTCTGCTTACCTCTTCCACAACTTATGCATCTGTCTGCCTGCCAGCAATCAGGCCAACAAAATAGAATATTTGTTGGACTTTTGGACTTAGTATTTGCTTTTTGTTGGCCGCAGGTGCTGCTGTAGCATGGTGCGGTACATCTTTTCATTGGGCATATGTCCTTATCTGTAGGTTCTGTCTGTCATCGTTCTGGTGTTTTAATCTGTCCATTTTGAAGGGAATTGTTAAAATAAAATCATCATTATTACTTCAGAGAAGAGTGAGTTGGGTGGAAAAGATTGCTAACTAGGAAGTTCTGTTCAATGCAATCTAATTACATTTTGCAGCTTCTTCACACCACATTGTAATACAGTCACATCATATACATATTAGATCAATTTTGTATTGGGATGGGAGATTCAACAGAGAACCACTTCAGTGTTAAGAATGAATAAAAATGATACTTTGTGTTTGATTTTTGGAAGTCCTTCTTCAAAATAAAATTTTAAGTCTGGTTGGCTTCAGGTAGAAAAATGTGGGTATAGTTATGTAAACTTAACTTTCTAAACTGGCATCTCACACAGATGCTCATTAATGATACTTCACCTATCATCAGTTTCTCCTCTTCAGTGGGATGATTTTCTTTGCTGCTCAAAATTGGTTTGTTGCTCCTTAGAACTGGTTGGCATGTCTTATAATTGTGGAAACTGCTCTCAGAGGAGAATGGATGTATTATAGGTTGTATAGTTTGTAAAGTATTTTGAAGGCCTTCTTGATGAATGGCACTTTATAAATACCTTATCATAATTCAATTATGGGAAGAGTTTATAAGGTGAGTGGATTAAGTCTTTATTTTTATTTGAATGTTTTTCTCTTAGGAAAGTCCCTCTAAAAGAATGGGGATAAAGAGTTCTCTCTTTGCCTTTAATCAAGTTATATAGTTTCATGGCAACCAGTTGAGTTCAAAATATCCAAGTATATTTATTTTACAATGTAAATTGTGCACTACATTTTTATTTTTTGTAAGCCTTTGTTAGAAAAGTTGCTTTCCATCGTTCATTTTGAGGTTTTCCCCCCCTTCCCTTTTGTTTTTGTTTTTCCTCAGTTTCCATTACAAAGAGCAGTGCAAAAATCCAATCTTCCCCTTCCAAAGTGACCCGGCGTTCAATGCAGTCTCCACAGAAATCTGCTCCAGTACCAGCGCAACGGGGCAGGAAACCAGGTCGGGGCAAACCCCCTGGACAGTCTGCAGTTCCCAAGAAGGGCAGGTCTCCTAAAAATATTCCCCTGACAAAAAGCACCTCTCATACTGAAAATCTTAAAACAAGGAAAAAAAGTTTAAAACCTGGAAAAAAGGTTAGTCCTTATCTACTACTTTACTTTATATTGCAAAATTTTGTAGTGAGATTTTTTTTATTATTATTATTATTTAGTTTTCTGTCTTCTGTTCAGCCTTCAGGGCTTTACTGTTTTCAGCAACTGATCACAAGAAAAAGTCTAGAATGTCTGTTCTGGAACATTTCGGTATAAGCTTCTCTGGATTATTTTATTCCAGAACAAGATTACTGATTTATTTATGGGTGAGTTGTTGGTGTTGAAAAATACTATTCTGGAATAGCCATTTCCAGTAAAATTACAAGAGCCAGGGAAGCCTTTAGGCTTTTTAGTCTGGGTTATTCTGTTACTGAACCATATATATATAGTTTGCATAATTTTTTATTATTTTGCTTTGTTTTGTGTTTAGAAACAAAAGATTAGGAACAGTGAGGGCTTTGTTGCAGTGTTTAGGCATGTTAAGCATGCAGCTAGATTTGCCAAATGGATCTCATAGACACCCCCTAATCCTGGAGATACTAGCATGAAGCAGGAAGCTGCTTTCCAGGCAACACACTTCTCCAGGTGTGGGCCTACTTCTGCCCTGGTCTGAAAGATGTGATGCCTTTCTGCCTTTTTCCCTGCCAAGCTGAGTCAGACTTGGAGTGTTGGCAGCTGCCTCCAACTTCAGCTCCTCTGGAGCTGTTTGATCAGGTACAAATCAGCACTGCTGTAACCCCCACTTCCCGTTCCCACATGACACCAACACTGGTGGGTAAACAATCCCAGAGTGAGCTAGTTCAGGGAGCTAAACTAGCAGACAACTAATCCAGCATCCATCCATCTTACTTGCTTCTTTGTCTGCTCCACCCCAAAAAAGCACAAATGCTACGGCTGCTGCAAGGAACAACAGGATCACAGCAGGGCAGATTTCGGACCATTAGAATTGCTGTGGAAGTACAATCTATTTTCTGAGGCTTGTTCACCCACTGCAGGCTGTCAAAGAGGACTAGCAGTCCTGCAGTCTTTCCCCAATTCGTGTCTGTCCCTGTGCTCCTCCCTCCTTTGCATTAGCACCAATGGGTGCCACCAGTGGGGGGCATTGTTTCTTCTGTTTGGGTTTTGGTCGTCCCCCGCTGCCCCTTACCCCCAAGTTTCAAAAACTCGAAGTTTTGGGGTTTTTCTCCTCCAGTCTGGATCACTGTAGGCTATGGGATCTATTGCTAGTGATGTGTGGGAAAGGGTGGAGTAATGGCACAGGCGGGACTCTTCAGTGATAGTGCTAGTGAATAACATTATTAGAGTATACCCGGAAGGCGCTAGCACAAAACTGGAAGCAGGCGCAACAGCATCATTATTGAAATGATGACCACAAGGTAAGAAATGATTCTGGGGCCCAGAAATTGAAAGCTGAGCACTGTCTCCTCTGGTGCCTGCCCCTTCCGGTCAAGGCATCCGAACTGGCAGGCTACTGATGCAAGTGGTCTCCAGCTTTATCTCTTGCTTGGTGTATAGAAGTGCACAGAGACACAGATTATAGAGGAGAAAGGTGCTTCCATCCAGACTCAGCTGGTGGATGGGGTGTTCTCCATAAGTCTGGGGGGGCTTTAAAGGAGACCATTCAACACAGGACTTTCATATCTCAAGGACGTACTCAGGTATGGCAAGATGCACACTTTTATGTAAGAGTTTTGTCCTGTGTGTCTCATGAAAAAGAAATTGAGAGGCTTTGTGTATTCTTTGAAAGAATAGTTGGAGGCATCTCACCCTTAGAGGAGGCTTCTGGGCTCTAAATGCTGGGTGTCTGAAAGTGTCTGCTTGGAGCACTGCATTTGGCACCTGGTCTATGTGAGGTACCTGGGGGGACTTGCTTGGGGAATGGGGGTTACTGCTGACACTCCCTGTCTTGAGGCAGTGAGTCTGAGGTACCTCTACACACTCCTGGTTTCCTCTGTGGGACCAGGCAACTAAGACTTAGGTTTTGTAGAATCTAAGTTTGATGTATCTAACCTGGGAGTTTTACTACATTAACTTTTGCATTAAAAACTTTAAAAATTAACTCCTTTTGAGAATCCACAAAAGGTTGTTATTGCTTTGATACGTGGTTAAATTGTCAAGATGTTATATGTATGTGCAAGCTCTTCTTTGGCCTGTTACACCTGTTAGCATAAGGGTGAAGAGAGAAAATGGCCTTGTGGGAGTTCTGCATAGACAGGGTGTATCTGACATGGAGTGCCATACGGCTTGTATACCTCACAATACATATGCAAATATAATGCAAGTGGCACGTGCCTAGAGATTTGAAAGTGCCTTCCCCCCTCAAGACTAATCCAAAAAACCCCTTGAGATTTCAGGCTGAGTAATTGTGCTTCAAGCGTGAGCTGGCTATGTGGTAGTTCAGAACCTGTGTGTTTAGGGAGATTGGTCTATGCCTGATGCTCTGTAGAGTTGTTTGACTTTCTTTGCCCTTTTACAGCTGTTATGCTGCAATGTTTATCATTGTGCAGGTATTAACTTCTATTATACACCTAGGAATGTTGAGTTGTTGGGTCATTTTTCTCCTTTATTTAAGTTTTCTAAGCTTCTCTCTAAGTATGAGATGCATGTCGGGTTTTGTTTTCCATTTGTCTCCCCCCTGCTTGCACTGTATGTTTTTACTCTGTCACAATGAAGAAGAAATCTCCTTACATCTCTTTCATTATTTTTAAAAGTATACTTTGCATAACAATGCAAAGAATTCTTTCCAGAATTTCTTGAGGAAGTGCCTTGGTCTGAGTGTGGATCACAGCCCTAAGTTTGACCGCACAAGAAGAGAGTTTTTAAGCATCAGGGTAAAGCCTGTGAAGTCGGCCATGTGGTGCCAGAATGTGAGAAGTGCTCTCTGCAGGCAAATGGAGCTGGCATGCCCACCCAGCTGGCAAGGGCCAGCCGGTGACACCCTGACCGAGCAAACATGCTGAGCCCTGCTGGGAATGTGGCCTGCCTCGTGAAACAACATGGCTTTGGGATAGCAGTTTGCTGCTCAGCTGAGCAAGCATAACGCGCTCTATTTCTAAAACGCACGCTCTTTCCTCCTCCTGAAGGAGAAGGTAGGAAATGGCTGGCTAGCCTCACCATGCTTATGTTAGTGTGGAGGGCAGATAGTTCCTCTTACAGTTTAGTGTTTGTATTTTGTTTTCATGCCTGCATTTCTCCTGTTTCCTCCTCTTTCCCCTCAGCTCAGCCACCCATATTTTGCAGTGTGGTGACAGACAACTGTCCCCCCAAAGAGTCCCTGCTCCAGAGGGGCCTTCAGGAATGGCAGACTTCAGATCAAAAGCTCAAACTTCCCAAGTGCATTTTTGTTCTCTGTATTAAGGATGGAGAGAGACCTTTCTGTCGCCAATGTTAAGATGCATAGGCAATTCCTGACAAGTAATACATCACTGCTTGGTTCAGTGTCTGACCTGAGCCACCTCGTCTCATTCACAGTGCAATGCCAAGCCTTGGAAGTCTATTCCTTATGTTCATGGCGATTCCACCCAGTGCCATACTGTCAAGTACTTTCTGCAGCTAAACCTGTCTTCTCTGAACTGTAAGGGGCACAGAAATTTTCTTTGAAGTGCCCTGGACTTCAGAAGAAAGTTAATTAATTCTTTATAGGTGTTGTGAAGAAGTTAAGTAGTGCTGCTCTTAGGAAGGTGTATATTTTGATTGCTTTCTACATGATTTTTAATATATTATTTGGAAAATATGCTGCTTCTAAAAGTGTAAAAGATGAATACTGCTAAATGGAAGAGGGCTTAGCCGCCCTTAGCAACTTGACTGAATTTTCACTTCACTGTGGATCACAGTTTTAGCAGTAAAGCCCTACCACATGAGTAGCCAAGTCTCTGCTGCCTTCAGCAGTGTCAAGACCTTGGGTAATCTCTTATATTCCTAAAGTTTTTGGTAGGTAAGAGAATGAGAACATAATCTGTTCTCATGCAAGAATAAATGGTGAAGGGAGAGGTGATGAACTTTTCTCCAATTCATTATTTCTTTTATTTCCATGTATTTTCATAGCATGTCAGAGCACATTAGAAATGCCTTCCTTGTGCATGTCTCTTTTCGAAACCCCAGTCCGAACCAAATTACAACAAAATTCTTCTTTCCTCAGATGGAAGGTAATGCACACTGACCAATTTCTAAATCTTTGTGCTGTGTACTCTGGTTGTCTGTCACGTGATAAGCTGCAAATAAGTTTGGTTTGGGAAAGGAAAAGGTTTTGGCAACCCACTTGACTGGATTGTAACTACTGTTTTGTTTGATAAGTTGCGTAAAGCACCAATTTCGGAAAGTGACTGCTTCATAATTTCAGCCCCTTTGAAACAAGCTGAGGGAAAAATCTAGATGCACTGTAAAGCTGGCACCTAAATGTGACTTAAATTTTATATGGGAATACATACATAGCCCAACTAACTGATTTGAGTTGTGATAAACCCAGATGGTTGGAAGGGTATGGACGGGAAAATAATCCAAAACACCTCTTCTGTGCTTCCCAAGATTTAGAAGGGTCATGAATTAGTATATAAAGCTCATTCTTTTCGCACTTTTTAGCTAGAGGTGGGTTCCTTTTTAAGTCATTTGTCTTCCACTGCCTTACTTAAGTAGCTGTAAATGCAAACTGACAGTTTCTGGTCTTCATTTCCTGGACTTTATTTTCTCTGCTGTGTGTAGTACTTTTGTAATAAGGAACCACACACATTCAGTAAGATGGTAACTGATAGCAGAAAGGTTTTGCAAACTTCTTAAAAAACATTAAACTTTCTGATTTTGGTTTTTTTCTCTAAACAGAAAAAAATCTTGCCGGAACAAGTGACTCCTGCATCTTCTTCTCCTCATTCTTCTCCTGAGGGGGACAGTGTCACTACGCAGACACTTAAAGATGGAATTAGTTTGTCTGGTGCAACTGCAGCAGTTATATCCACAGGTAAAAGACAAAGGAAAAAAAATTAATTACACTTGTAGTGTGAAATGTCTTCCATTTCAAGCAAACCAGTAGTGTCATTTTATGCAAAATGTGCTGCAAACTTACTACTGTAAATCATTACCCAGCTACCTTATTTTTTAAAGATATTTGTAGGTGCCAAAATATTTTCATGCCTGCGTTACAACAAGAAGAGCTGGAGCACAGGGGCTTTTGATAGATCCGGCAGTTTGTTCCTGTCTGAAGAAGGAAACTGTACAGTTCTTTCATGTCTGTCCCACTCCTTAATGTATGAAATGGGAATAGATGTAGCTAAAAACCCATATGATATTCTGATATCATGCAGGCTGTACTGTAATATAGCAAAATAGAGATTTTATCTCTGTATAGCCTTACATTAAACTAAACAACTCAGACTGTTTAAACCAAGTAAAGGCAAACAGAGGAAATACATTCCTCCTTCCTCTTATGTTTGCTTGTTTTTGAAATATGTCTTGAAAGGGGTTGGCAAAAGAGAAGTAAGCTAGTTAATGAGCTAACTCATTGAGGAACTTGTAACCCTGTAGTGAAACAATTTGTATGTTGTCAACTGAAATCTCAGAACTTTCTAAAAACTCCATAAATTATGATAATTTTGTTTGGGGTGCTTTTTTACATTTAAAAACTATTTTTACAATAGAAGTTGTCAGGCTCTTCTCACTCCCGACTTCAGTCATGAATGAGGGGAAAATATGTATGTGTTTCTGAGGAAAATAAACCTTTCAGGAGGCAGTTGTTGAGCCCAGACAGAAGATGCCATGAAAACTATTTTTGCTGATGTGTATCTTTGAGTATTTGTACAAATAGGTTTCCTCTAATTTGCAGGCATCAGAGAGTAAGCAGATATAAGACGTGAGATCATTAAAACACTTATAGAAATATTTCATTTTTAAAAATTTTAACTAAGCCCAAACAATACTACAGTTCAGAAAATGTGGCAGCTTTGTATAACAGAATACTTAGATTGTCTGCTTAATCACCACAGAGGCACGTTTTTTCATTAAGCTGTAATAATGTCTTGGGTGTATTCCTGGTCATGTAACGGCCAAGGCCAAAAAGAAAAAAAAAAATCTTCAGTTACAGCTCTTCCCCATGTTTTTCTGCCTTGCTGTTCCTTTTGAAAGAGAGTTTTGCATAGTCTGTATAAAAAGTAATTTCAAAAGTCCTATTTGATTGTTTTGTTCTAAGCTTTAAACCACCTTACAGTGTTTCTAGAGAAGTATGTTTATTTTATTTAGCAGAGAAGGCCAAATTGCAGTGTGGAAATCATACATGAGTGGTTCGGGGGTTCTGAAGGTACAGATCTTCAGTAGCCATTATACACGCACACAGGATCATTATACATGCACATGTTAATGCTATATGAGTGCTTCAGAAAGAGCATCAGTGGTAGGTATATACCATAGGGTTGTCTTTGTTGCAGCTTCTCAAATAGGAGAAAAATTAGGGCAGTAACTGGGTAAGGCTAGCGTTTTAGAATTGCGTCCTGGTAGTGTAGAGTACCTGTCAGTAATTCTTAACTTTATTGGAACTAGTGTATGAATAGAGGTTAGTCAAAATAAAACATTAAGGACAGATCATGACAGCTTTGTTATGTTGGTGGGGTAGAGAAGGGCTTTGGAGAACAGAAAGAAGTGGGTTTAGGATTCCGGCCAGAGAACCTTGAGGGAAGACAGAGAGAGCACTTTTGCATGCTCTGAAAGTAGGTATGCATGTTCAGCTTCTTGAGTTGACCAGCACTTCTTTTCTTCAAGATTGAAACTAAAAAGACGGTTTGCAGTTCTAACTTGGAAACATGTCTTAGTTCTTCAGCAGTAAAAATGGCTTGTTCTTTTTCAGTGTGTGTTTATGTCAACAAGCATGGGAATTCTGGGCCTCACCTGGATAAGAAGAAGGTTCGGCAGCTTCCGGATCACTTTGGACCAGGTCCTGTCAATGTGGTGCTTCAGCAGGCTGTACAGGCTTGTGTGGATTGTGCCTATCAATCCAAAACAGTCTTTGGATTTCTGAAATCTGGCCATCACGGAGGCGAAATGATAACTGGTATGTGAAGATGTTTTGTTTCTTATGTTTCTTCACTTGGTTGTGAACTTGAGGTAGGGCAGAAGAGCTGAAGTAGCTGCAATGAGTTTATATCACTTTTGGAACTATTTAAGTGCAGTCAAGAACATAGACTTGTGAACTCCTTTACTAAGAGAGTATTGGTGGTGTGTGATTTATCTCACTCTGGGTCCAGGATGATTTGAACAATTCTTTAAATTGGAATTTAGCAATAGCAGTGTTAAATTACATATACACAGTACAGTTAGATTCTTATACTAAGTAGAGCTCATGCACCTCTTTAGCAGCTGTAGCTAAACATTTGTCAAGTAAACTCAGTACAAGTGAAATACCAGCTTTATTAATGCAAGGAATTTGCATAATCTTATCCATACAGTGTGTTCTTAATGCCTTAACCAAGTGGGTGAAAAGTTTCAAACTAATCGGGTTTGCTTCCAGGCAAGTGATTCCACATGTTAAAGTTGCTGCTTCTTCCCTTTCCCCATTCCCCAGAATTGTAGCAGTATCTTAGGTCAGTGTTCATCCACCTATGTACCCTATTACGGAATAGGTTCATTTCTGCTACATATTAATGGCAGGTCTACAGATAAATTATCTCTGTCTCAAACTGAATAGCTGCTGCTTGACATTTTTTTCCTTCTAGGCTAGGAAATACTCTATATAGCAGTTAGCACATCAATTCATAATTCCATCACTGGCGATAAAAAGACTTTGTGTTACTTTAATCTCCTTACATTAACACCAGGTGTGAAAGATGATTAGTGGAATACAGGTTCAATTAAATCCTCATAAAGATGTTGCTGTCTAACAATATTTAAAAAGCAGCACCCTGGCCTGCCTGTAGCAGAAGTACAGTAAGCCTTGGTTATGCATCCCCATGAGCTTGTTCACAAAAATGGATGCTGCTTCTCTGCTGTGTAGTAAAGGTTTAATGGCATCATAGATGTGTGGTTTTGAAAGCCATATTGCTTTATTTTTGCAAGATATATGAAAGTTTATTACATTATTAATACCTTGCTGTGCCTAATTCAGACAAGTAAATTTTTCTGAACAAAATGCACAGAGATGTGCATTGCCAGTATTCTGTTTGTGATTGTTTATCATGAAGGACTAAATTGTAGGCCAGTGGCATATCTGGGCTGTGACTAAGTAGGTGAAAATAATTATTTCACAGAGGAGAGATAAATTTCAGAATCTTTCTGTCATAGTGGTTTGCTTACATTCAAAAATTCTGTACAAAAAGGAATTACTGTTCTGCACCCGGCTTCACCCCAAGGCCTGGATTCAGAGAAACCAGCTCTGTAGCCCTGGATTTGAGGAACTTGGTGATGTGCACTGCTCCTGAAGCAGAGTCCTGGCCCAGGTGATAGCAAGCCACAAGACCCCAGTGGGTTTCTGGTGTTCTTGAACTCTTTCCTTCTCATCAGCTTGTCAAACAGGTTGTTGAGAAGCGGGTGAGCAAACACTCCCTGTCATTTTATCAAAAATTTCTGTGTGATGTATTTTGAAAAGCACAAAATGTGACTTAGGTTAATGTAGCACATTACAACCAGCTGTGCATGTGAACAGTAAGGAAGAATAGTAAAGCTACAGTAGAATAAAATGAGGAATTACGGAATGAAATTGTGAGAGTGTTTTCTTGTAGAGTTTGTGTTTGAAAGTAGTTTTGGAGTTTGGTTTGTTGTTCGGGTTTGGGGGTTTTTTTTTTGTTTGTTTTTTTTAGACTGGCAAGAAAAAAAATATTGCAGCAGAGAATAAGCAAAGAAATCTAAGTCTTTTGTGGACTGATACTTTCATGATGAGTATTATACCTGCCGTAGGAGGAAACTGTATGCTGATGAGGACGTGGATAAAATAGTCTTGCTAGAATACATGCGAATAATTAGTGGGTTCTTTTGGTTTAGCTGCCAAAGAAAATAATTGTTTTGAATAGAACTGAATTTAGGATTTTTCCATTGTTTCTTATTCAAACAAAAGCACAAACCATTTTATTTTTGCTTGATGCATAAGGTTTCAATTCAGGCAAATATAACTGAAAGGAAATTAAAGGCTTGATTAGCAAGCCCACTAGTGGTGGTGGTGGTGTCAGCCCCTTTTTTCTCCTTGTAGCACAGACTATGGTGTTTGGTGGGATGAAATAGACTGAGGCACAGATAAATCTTCTCTAGCAGAGAATTAAAATCAGACTCTGTGTGAGTTTCTTCACTATCAGACAAACACGCTTCTCTGATAGTTTACCTCTCAGCCTTTCTCCTGGCTTGAACCTGGTATTTAAAACATATTTGCACAATGGAAGGTGAAGAAATGAGAATGATTCTTCATCCTGGGCACTGGGATTGCACACGCAAGCTCCAGTCCCTGTTTATTTGTCATAAAAGGTTGAGGTTATTGCACCTCAGAAGTACTGCTTTTTATTTTTTCCCCTAGCATTTATCTGGGAAGTAAGAGGCTTATGTTGTCCCCAAGCAGAGCACGCAGTTGAGCCTATGGATCTGGATCCCACACCCTTGGTTGGCGTTCGTATGGTTGCCCTCAGGTGTTCAGAGTACAAGGGATTTGCACTGAATCTTTATTTGTGGATTTTTCCCATGGTATGTCTTGCTGGGGCAGTCACATTGCCTCAGCTGTTTCTTGCTTTACCCTCCTGACAACTCTAAGATAATATTGTTGTTTTCAGTGCTTCTTTTCAAAATGAGAAATTAAGGCATGGAGAATAAGCGATTTCCCCAAGGTCACATAAGAACATCCGTAAGGCTATTATAAAGCATTTTAAATTTTTGTTGTAGCTGACTACTACCTTGCAGTAAATTTGTCAGGAGATCAGGCTGTGCTAGGTCTCACAGCCCATTTGCTCTCCAGAACTGGTTGAGTTCCAAGCAAAAATTTGCCTTTGGAGACCCCTTCCCCAAACAGGAGGTAGAGGACCTTGTGTCTGAGCCACATGTGGGGCTGTGAATAGTTAGCATTTCATTTGAATGTTGGAGCCTGGAAAAAATGAATGGGCCATGAAAACACATTGGTCTGGGATTTGTCCCTGTAGTACTGACTCTCAAACTTTAAGCATTTGCGTTGGGTCAGTCTGTCATGAAAGCAGATGAGAGAGGTAGCACATTGTTGTTGATGCTAGATGGTTAACTTGCATTAACTCCAATCAGAAGCTTCCTTACATCAACAGTGTAAGTAATTGATGCTTCTGATTTCCTAAGGAAGCCTAAAATGTGCTAAACTTGGGCGTTTTCTTTGGTTTTGTGTATATTATCTGTCTCTTTTGTAACACAATATGGAAATGTTCCTTAATTCAGATCTGTGAAAAAAGGCTTTCTTGTCATTTCTGGGGTTTTTTTTTGGTTTGGTTTTTTTTTGTAACTGCATCTGCTACTCACAAAATGTGATCCTTTAAAGCTCTACTTATCGTTTGGAAACTTATGTTAACAACAGAAAGCTGCATGACAGGCTGAAAACCAAGAAGACAAATTGATGCATAAACCTGGTGTTTATGCCACTTCTTTCTAGCCCTAAGCTTAAGTTTCAAGTTTGTTCCTGCTTTGTCGTAATGTCTTTCTAATTAGAAGTAACTAAAAGTTTTGGCTAATGTAATGGTAGTTATTTATTCTTTTATTAGTAGTAGTGAGTCTTTTCAAAATCCTGCTAATTTTCACAAAATGGTAAAATATCGTCAGCTGCAACACTCTGTTTGGGGGGCAAGGAAGGAGGTCAACAAGTAGAAGACATAGGCACATGTCCAGGCTCTTTGTAATCGCTTGGTTTAAAAGACACCAGATCTGTTTGTGGCTGTTGTGGTATCCCTGTCACCTAGCTCCTGTTGAAATAAATGGGAGCTTGACCACTGTAGTGTTGACAGCAGGATAGATTTCTTTAGTGATAAAACAGCAAATGGCAAACCACTTTCCGTAGTCAGAGTTTCAGTGGTAATGGATACCAGCACATTACCACGAGTATGCTCAGTTCAGTTAGAAACTGAGGAAAAATATCTTAAAGTTGTTTACTTCCTTTTTTTTATTTTGTTTTTTAATTTTGGTTGTGTTGTGGTTTTTTAGGAAGTACTGTGAAGGGTCTTTTCTGTGTTATCTCCTGCAGATAGGTGGTGGAGAGTTTGTTGTTTTATAAGCAAACAGAAATTACACGTAAGGTTTTGGTGATGAGGGAATAGTTGCCAGTTTTGTTATGCTGGTGTGAATCCAAAATTATTTTATTAAAACAAGTTCCCACAGAGAAAATTTAAACTGGCATGGATCCAACGGAAGGTAAAATCAGTCCTTTGGATGTAAATTTATTAAACTACCAGAATGATTGTTTACTCCTCTCATGTCTTGTGTGGTTTAAATCAAATCTGGATGTCTTCTCCTTTAAGTTGATGATGGTGTTTTACTATACTTCATGATGCTTGGGGAGTGTTTGACATCATCTTGTTATTCACAGCTTCCTTTGATGGGGAAAAGCACGCCATCAATCTTCCTTCTGTAAACAGCGCATCATTTGTCCTACGCTTCTTGGAGAAACTCTGCCACAGCCTGCAGTGTGATAATCTCTTTAGTAGCCAGCCTTTCAGCCCTTACATGGGATGTGCACATAGTCCTACAGAGTATGATAGGAACAAACCAGGTACTGTTAAACAACTGTTATTTTCAAGTGCTGGTATTTTTGAAAAGTGTGGCGACTTTGAAATGTAACTTTTTAATCAGTCTGTCTTTCTATGACGTGGATTGATTGAAATGAATATGCTTCAGTTCTTAGTGAATTGGTTCCAGTGTGGTACTGCTTTGACAGGATGGGATAGCTCGTACCACATGTGCAGAAATCATTTTGTTCAGCAAACTCCTCCTTGTAGCCAAGCCAGGAAACATATGTATTGTACCACTGTGATACTGCTAAAAGGACAAGCTCAAAACTTCACATTTCATTTGTTAAATTTATGTTCGGATCATAAAACAAACTTGCAAAGAGATACTTACTGCTTTATGAGAAGGGGCTTGCCCTGAAAGGGAATTCAGTCTAGCCCTTCCCACGCCAGTAAAAGGTCCTTTCTTCCCTCTTTATTCACCTTACTCAAGTGGTGGCTCCAAAAATTTTACATTCTGTTATGTACAGTCCAGTCTTCTAGTAGAAAAGGTGGGTTTTACAGGTGGCTGCTTGTAATATTTTGTATGTGGCCAATATCTTTGCTGCACCAGAGCCATGGAGTGAAGGGGAAATGAAATGACTTGCGCGAGATCTTCCATCAGGTTGTTTGCAGGGCCTGGTACTACAGGTCCCAGCCCAAGGGTTACCAGGAGCCATAGCTGAGAAAATCTTGATGTCAGGGCAATTTCAGAAGATTCATATTGGGTGTGAAGCTTCCTCACAGCTGTCTGATAGCTGAGTCTGTCTTCTGGGTGCTGCTTTGGAAAATAAAATTTTTTTTTTTTTTTTCCCCCTTTCCAATGGATAAATTATGTTTATGTTTCTGTCTGTCATAGGTAAGTCATTAGTTTTAACTCTTTTCAGAAAAGTAGCCAGGGTCAAGGTAGTTTGGGCAATGACAGTACTGTCTGTACTTCAGCTTTGAAAATTTGTATCAAAATGACTGAGTCTGTGACACAAGAAACCGAACTGTAACCTAGTGAATGGCTGATGTATGTCTTTCCTTTTGTCCCTGGACTTTCCCCATGAGCAGCTTTATGCTAGGAATAATAGGTGGTGACTTTCCTCTTCACAGCAAAAGAAGAAATACCTGAAAACAGGAGTGCTAAACGATACTCTCAGGACTCTCCACCGTATACTGCTCCTCTTTCCCCTAAGCTTCCCAGAAATGATGCTCATCCATCTGAAGGTAATTACATTATGTCAGGATTATATATGAGGATTATTTATGGTTTCAGTATTTCCAGTCAAAAAGGACCGAGTTCAACGTATGTGTCTGGTTTGTCTCTAGCCTTTGACAGGTCAGGGTGAAAGTATGTTAATTATTGATCATTAGCACAGATTTTGCACTTCGGGAAGATCTACTGCAAGTTCCAGCAGTCCTTCTCCTAAACCTGCTAGCCTTTTTTGAGAAGGGGCTCAGGCAAATAGGTGACGGATGAAGCCTCCTGCTTCATATATGGCTATTTAGCAGAAAACCGATTGCCTTGAAATGGATTAAGAGATAAATTGGAAGCAACTCTTAATAACTCTAGGCTGGGGCCATTAAGTGAGTAAGGGTGTAGCTTGATGATACAATTCAGCTGAATTTATGGTTCACTGCCACTGAAAGTTCTGCTGCTCCTGCTTTCCTTGCCTCCTTGTCCCTGCAGTGGGTCCCAGGTCCCCCAGCTGAGCGGTGAGCTGAACCAGTCAGCAAAAGCACAGAAAACTTTTTGGTGAAGCGAAGAGTAGTTTGCAGTTTACTTCCCTGGACTGACTCACCGTGGACTCGGGTGAGCACAGGGAAGGGTTGAATAAAATGCGGCCGTGGCCAGGGGAGCAGTGAAGCCTCCCTGTGGCAGCTGGCTGTTAGATTGATTTAGCTCACTGATGAATAGCACCTCTTCCTGCGCTGCAGCTCAGCTGCAGCTCAGCTGCAGTAACTGAGCACGTGTCTAGTCTTAGTCTGCCTCAGATGTGAAGTAAAGCATCTAGGTTTAAACCTCAGTGAGAGACACTTAGGAAAAAGTGGGGTTTTTTCACTCCGCGTTTGCTACTTAACTGGTTAAGCCATGGTAACTTCTTGATGTTGCCTTGTCCCATCTGATACATACTTTCTCTTGCTGCTGCACAGCGTTTCCAAAGGCTTTTTTGAAATATGATGGGGCTTAGTTATTTCTTCCTTCATATTATTTTTTTTTTCTTCTTTTTGGAGATCCTGGGGTCATTTTGTGTCTGTTAGCATCAGTGGGGGCAGAATGACCTCTCTGTGCAGATTAAAAAGTCATAGGGCTACAGTTAAAGCAGAAAAGGATATAAAATTAAAATGTTCAGTGATAGCTTATTTAAAATGGTATGTATTGTTTTATATATATGTAGCATATTCACTTCTTTGTTTATAGTAACAGCAGCAGGAAATACAGTTCTGCATTGATTATCGATATCTGTGTCTTTCCAAAAGTAGTACTGGCTTAATTCCACAGGTATATTGTACACCTAAGTCAGATATTTCTGGTAGGTAACTTAATAAGTGTAGAGCACTTAATTATACTCAAATGAAGTTGTTTCAGTTGGAGCAAAACAAATATTTGAGTAGATCTGCATTATCTTGTAAGAAATCTTCCTCAAAGTAAACATGCATACGCATACTGCTTTTTCATCTTTGTTTGCTAGTGGATCCCTTTTACAGATGAAGTCAGTGTACTCCTTAAAATACATTTTAAGATCAATAGTTCATTATAAAGTGCAGTTACTTGGATAAAAAAATAATTAAAATAAGTGTTTTGCCATGGTTTCAGAGGTTTGAATTTGTACTCTGTGCATTTCGAGAGGCAAAGTGTTCTCGAGTGTTGTGTGTTTCCCATTAGGGCAATGTCCTTTGCTGAAAATCTGGAGGTAATTTTATAGCGGTCAGTCATGGGTTGGTTAGCAAGAAAGATCTGCCCCCAAAAACTTCTGGTTCCATTGAGACATAGTTGTCTTGAAATAGTTGTCTTGAAATAACCATTTGAAGGAAAAATGGAATAATTGTGGGAAAGGGTCTTTCAAACAGCTCATTTTCCTTCTGATCTGCTCAGGGATATGTTTTGCAGATTTTGCTGTCTTTCCTGGTCACTAGCAGTTTCTTCTTAAAGTTATGAAAGATAAAGGAGCGGGGGTGGGGAATAACTCATTCTCCCTCCCCATGAAAACAGCGTGTTCTTACTACTGCGGCCGATTACATCATTCCCGTTATGTATGAGGCAGAACAACTGGCTTCTAATTCCCAGAGGAGCTTCAGGAAAACAAAACGTCCGATTCCTGCTAAGGCCTTCAGTGTTTAAACAGTCTGTCATCCTTCCATTTGAAACATAAGGCCTTTTATTGGCCTTTTATTAATCTACCTGGAGATCAGGCGTTCTGCAGTGGAACCCTCTGTCTCTTTCCATACCACTGTTATTCACAACTGCTCAAAATGTCGAGGTAGGAGAAGTGTGTCATTCATTGCTCCATGGATTGCAAAGCTCCATTTGCTAGATGCCGATTTTGAATCAGCTGTCATACCAGTTGACCACTTTCTCAACGAGATTGCAGCTGCGTTTTGTTTGTAGAGAAGCTAGATGGATGGAAGGGGAAGTGGATCGGACACTATAATTGCTGAACAGAAACACCTTCTCTGAAAGATGATGGCCCTGGGAAATATGCTAGCTTTTCCACCTTGCGTATGTGACTTGAGAATTTACAGTAAGATAAATTCAAATGCTGGTATCTTGGGGGGAAAAAAGCAGAGTTGATCTTTCCCAGCCCTATTTACTGTTGTTTACTTTAGGGTATATAACATCAGAGAGAAATCTGGGATATAATTGGAATAAATAAAATTAAATTCTTTTGTAATACAGTCAATTTTAAAAATCTTTGCGTCTTCAGAATTCTTGAGAAGGATTAAGTAAAACAATGATTTTAAAAAAAAAAAAAAAAACAACCCTATATTTGGGACCTCTGCTTGTTTACTATAACTACAAAAATCTTTTTTCTTAAGATAGTACATGGAGTTGGCTGATATATGCTTAAATACTCTAGTTGAAGCTTTCTGCTGGGGAGTATTGTCTCCATTGTTTCATCCTACCTTTCCAGACTTCTGAAATCTGAATCTACAGGTTCAGTCAGTTAAACCTTAGGCTCCTTCATATAGCTTTGCTCTAACTATTTAAAGTATCACCTCTGCCTTTTGGTCTTGGACTGAGATTTCTGTCAGTGGTTTCATTCTCCACAGTTCTGATTTTCCCTTAGTTGGCTACCCTTTAATTTTATAGCGCGTATCATTGACTACATCTCTTAAAGTCTCTCTGAAATTCTATAGAATGATGCCTTTTGTTTTTCATTTTGGTGAGTTGCTGCAACTACTTCAAGCTGACAAATGTAAAGAAGTTAGTTTTCTTGTTTGTTTGTTTTCTTTGAAAACCTCAGCTGCTGCTGTTTTGCTTTTGTGATTCAAATCTAACAAACTAGAAAGTTTTGCAGTGGTTGTTTTGAGGGTTGTATGTATGAAAGAGAAGGGCTTGTGTCCATAAAAGCTGCTCTATTCCATGACTATCAAGTTTAGTAAAAGATGTTACATTGTCTTGCAGATCTTGCCTTACTGGATTCTCTAAGTAAGTAGGAGCTGGCTCTCTTGAGTGCCTTTGTTCCCTTTCAGGATTATACTGTCTGAAGATCAAGATACACTTAACAGTTCTTCACTGCAGCCCACTTTTAAAAAGGTTTCAGCAGAGAACATAAGACCTCATGAAGCGAGTTGAAAACATGCTTGAGAAGCTCACTGGGTTTTTTAGGAAAATACTCTTCCTTTAGTTTTAATTGGGTATTCACCCAAGAAATTCTTGAAAGTTGTCGTATAAGAAGGGTAGTAAAAAGGTTATTTCAGGAACTTGTTTCGCAGAACATACCAGTTCTTATCCCAAAGAATATGCTGCTTCAGTAGCATATGTTTTGTAACTTCACTAGAGTAATTTTCAAGATGGTAGTGTGGGGTTTACACTTCTGTGAACCTGTTAGCTATATTTTCCAGCTCTTAACTCTCCTGCCAAAGCAGCATTTGTTTTGTACAGATTTGTACATCATGCTTCCAACTTCTTTCTTGGGCTAGATGTTGGCCTGATGCAAACAGAGAAGAATACATATGATTGCTAGAGAATGGAGTGGTGTTCTCACTGATTTGGGGTTTTCCCCCCACACACACACACACAGAGCATGTTTCTCCCAATCAGACCTGAATTTAGTTGACTGAATTCAGTGGAATTTTCAGCAATCAAGCAAACGTGGCTCCTGTCTCATGGCACAGGGAAAAAGACACA